AATCCTCTACTATGCGTTGTTATGAGAAACAACATGTTTAGGAAAGGATAACAATTGCAGGGACATTATTTATGCAACTGCAGTCACACTATCAAGTTATATTAAGAAAATAGGCCATAGAGATTTAGCCTTGTTTTCCCTTTCTTCCAAAAAAGTAAATTCAGTGAACTTTCCGCATAAAAACCTCATTCACCTCTGAGGTGGCAAGATGTCATTTGCTTAAAATATTACAGATGAAAAGAAGAATGACAAAAAGCCAGCAAAAGGACCTCTTTGAGCTGGATCCTAGGCACAGAAATAGGAGGTAATACATGAGCATATTTAGTGATGTGGTACAGTATTATATTCACAACAAGAGAAGCGTTCCTACTCTCAATGAGCCTACCTACTTCTTGCTTGCCTAAAGAATTTGGCCACTTATTAAGAATGGACTTGCCACAGCATTTTAGTCTCTCCTTTACCAGTAAAATCAAGTTTTCCCTTATTAACAAAGGCACACACACTAGAAATCAGCACACCTGCTCCCTTGAATGTGCATCTGTTTTTATGTCAAATGTTTGACTTCCCTAAACTAGAGGTAAAATTACCTAGCCTTACTCTGGAGTTCACAGGAAGTCCATAAAATCTACGGTCAGACCCAAACATTATAATACTTGATCTTCCTCCATGATCCATATTTCAGACATGAGTCTCTGCCAGAATGACTGCAATTCAGTGCAGTTAGAGTTTATACAATTCCTTCAAGTCATGAATATTTTTAGGTGCACCACCGAACAGAAACCACTAAATGATCTTTCTATTCCGAACTCATTCCACTTGCCAACAAAAACAAGGATGTGTGTGTGAGCCAGTCAAAATGTGAGTCACACTGCCCAGGCCAGTGTGGCTCAGTTGGTTGGAGCATCATCCCATGCACCAGAGGGTGGTGGGTTCAATTCCGGTCCAGGCATGTGCCCTGATTACAGTTTTGATCCCTGGTAGGGGTGTGTGTGGGAGGCAGCCGATAGATGTTCCTCTCTCTCTCTTAAAAAAAAAAGTGAGTCACACCAAGCTCCAGGGAGATATATAAGCAAAGTTCACAAACTGACCACACACCCATCTGGACCCCTGAATCCAAATCCACATTTCAGAAAAAAAGCTCTTCTCAACAGGTACAGACTGGTACACATTTCACTCAGAGCTTCTTCTCCCCCAAAAACTGCCCAGCAAGTGTGCAAACATAAAACTCCTGGAGGGGCTCATTTTTTCCATCAAAAATCCATTTTTTTGTTGTTCTAGATCCTTCAACTTGGAAAAAATATCAAAGTGAAAGAAACTCTCACCATGTGGCATTTTGAAACATTATCAACTAATGCCAAAGTGGCATCAATAATGGCTATGTTTAAAATAAAGAGTGTAAGCCCTGGCCGGTTCCACTCAGCAGATAGAGCATCAGTCCAAGGACCAATGAGTCACGGGCTCGATTCCAGTCAAGGGCACGTACCTCAGTTTAGGTTCATCCCCAGCCCTGGTCGGGGTCATGCAGGAGGCAAAGAGTCTATGTGTCTCTCTCACATCCATGTTTCTCTCTCTTATTCTCTTGCTCTCTCTCTCTCTCCTCTTCCCTCCCTCCCTCCCACTCTATCTGATGATAAATAGAAAAAAAAAATCTCCTCAGGTGAGAATTAAAAACAAAAAAGAAATGAAAAGAAAGAGTATAAAAGAAACAGAAGAGTCTATGTTCTATAGCGGGGGTTAGTTCAGTGTAGTTTTTTTAATCCATTAACTCCATTTAATAAAGCATCAGTCTCCATGGTGGTGATACATATCACAAAAGCTGCAGGCTTTCGACTAGGGAAAAGGTTCTGACATGCACTGCAATGAATCTGAGAAACAAATGACATAACATACCACAGATGCAAGGAACTACACAAGCCCAGAGCAGTTTTTCGATAGTGTCAAGTTTTGGACAGTTTGATGACTGATTTAATTATGAAATGATCAACCTTTAGTAGAAGAGAAATGCTGGCTGAAGGGCAGACACTTGGTTCCCTTTATCCCCAAACAACAGCCAGCGTCACTAACCTTAACAGTTTTGAATCTCTTACTTAAAGCCATCTGTTCGACCATGGTTAAATTAATAATCATAATTATGGCTCCCTGTAAGATCTCACAATTGGCTACTTAACTGTGATTTTTTTTCTCTCTCTCAGTTTCAGAAGTAATATGGCCTTCCAGGGAAATCTCTGGGAATAAAAGGCCATCATTATGCAATATCTCTTGCCTGTGTTTCCACCATGAAGCAACATTTCTTTAATAAAGAATCAAGACACAGGCCCAAAGATGAATGTATATTCATTCATTAATTCACTTACTCACTCGTTTTGAAAAGGTGATTCAAATCAGGCCTGAAACACACAATATCTTTGAAAGGATGGAATGATGAATGAGGTCTTTTAGTTAACAGTTTGGATAATGTGCTATTTGGGATACAGATACTTATAAAAATAGGAGATAAAAAACTCAAAAAGTTAATTTTAATGTAACAAATCACCAACATAATCTAAATTAACTGCATAATGCAAATATTTTGTGAATATGAAAGGCAGGTTTTAAAAAGAAGTCCACTAGTCAGTAACGGAAGGGGAAAAATGACCTTGTTCTGACATATCTCATACCGGTACAGCGAGTGACAAAAAGACTACAGAAACAGTCAACGAACTCTCCCTCACTGAACTTGTTTCCAAAAATGTCTATGATGCCCTTGAAATGGGCACTATTGATCTGGAACTACAGTGTGCCCTAGATTTCAAGTCAACATTTGTTCACAAAGGCCAGATTACCCAATTTTTTTTTTTTTTAAGTAGCCACCAGAACTACTGACAGTTGCTGGTCAAAGATAATTTAATCAAAGCCTAAGCCTACCTTTCTCAATAACAAACATCTTACAAGTTTTGCCCTTTAAAAGTACCATGTTTTACTATACCACACCTGCCTCAAGAAAACAAGGATCAAGAAAAAGAAATATTGGTTAAAACTAAGTATGTAAAATTACTGTTATTACTGAAAAAGCTGTTATAAAAAATGTAAAGCTTTGGCATATTCAAGTCCCTAAACCAGAACTAGTTTGAAAAGCATAAATCTAAATTTGGCACATTAGCATAACATCCCAAAGATACTCTTTACTTGACTGGTTTTTGCAGCTCCATCTCTGGGTATTACAAACTCCAGTTCAAACAGTCCATCGGCCAGGGCTCCAGTGAGCTCACATCAGCCCACAGGAATTCCACATCACCTCCTTTTCTTTCCTACTGAAAAAATTCAGTATGTTTTATGTGTTTCCTATAGAAGAACACAAATAGAAAAAGGCTTGTCCACCAGTACTTCAGAGCCATTAGGAAATTTCTGTTCCAAGTCTAAAACACAAAACAAAATTAAAATGTTCTGGCCTTTCCAGTAAAGCACACCTTTCCTTTGCAAAAACCCTGATCTTGCTCCATCCCGTGTTAATTAATCTTTTCAGAATGATATAGACCCAGGTGGTTTTATAAACAACAGCAAACAAAATAGTTCCTTCTAGCTCTGAAATTCAATTGTCATCTGGCTAGAAAGATAGAGAACCCCATCTATGAAGTCCTGTATCTCCACACTTCCTGACTTGGGTTTATTAGATGCAATGTTGCGCCTTCTTTCTTTCCTGATCTCCTAGAAATGCCCTTTCCTTCAGGCACCAGGGGGATGCAGCTTTTGACTCACAATGAAGTCCACGCCCATTTCCTCCCAGACCTGGCAACAGAAGGATCCTCACTGTGGGGAACAGTGGTGAATGAAAAGGGAAACTTGACTCAGGAGTCTCAGCCTAGACATTTTTTTCCTTCTCCAAAAGAAAGAGCCTTAAGCACTGATAAGTGAGAGTTCTGAATCAGTTTGTGGAGTTAAGTTTATTGCCCCAGAAAATCAATCACACCCAGTTAGGGCACACAAATCTCCAAGCAGGGGAGGTGGGGAATGGTTGGAAACAGGAAATAAACAAAAATCAGAATTCTATACTTCCAGTTCTCAAACCATCTTTTCCTCCTGGTAGGCAATTGCTTTCCTAATTGCCAAACTTGGACACTAAATTAAATCCTCATTCTATTGCTCCCTGCACTTCTTATTGAAAGGAAGGATTTGTTTTGGTCCCACATGTTGAAAAAGGCATGTTCCTATAATTAAGAGGTTGTATGCCACGCCTTCTGCCACATTTCCCTGTTAAAACTCCCTTCTCTAAATATGATCCCTGAAAACACAACTACCAGCCGTCATCCTTTTCCCAGCCACAGAATACACATCTGAAGATTCTCAGCAGACGCCCTAACCCCTTCAGATCACAAAGTTGACAAGGAAAGGAATTCCCAGTTAAAATGTGAGTGAGAATGAGTTGGAGTTTTACAACTGTGGTCCCAAGACACTAGTTTTCCCACAAGCTCATGATGAATACACCCCAAGTGAATTTCTCACATCCTGACTGGACTATATAAAAAGATTTTTTATGTTGCTATATAAGAATATACAAGAATATCTATATGCTTTCATTTAAATTACCATGTAATAGGCCATACGGGGCTAAAAAGATACAAAACTTTTGTTCTCTCTCAAAGAGCACCACTTCTCTGAGTCAGTATTTCATAAACTTTTTGTGACATTTTAAAATAACTGCCCCCACCCCCTCACCCCCACCCCCACACTTCTCTGATCGGGATTCTCCAGTATTATTGGGAGACTAGGGTGTATGGGGGGAGGTCTAAGGATACAGACAAGACCTTACACGTCCAATCCCAGAGGTATTTTCACACATAAGCTAATTGGGAGCCCCGGGAGTTAAACCCTACCATCAGCAACCCCCCAAAGTGCCCGTTCCCATTGGGAAAAGAGAGTGAGAAGGAAAAGGAAACCGACCCCGGGAGGAGGAGCAGCGGCTGCACCCAGCTGCAGCCACACCACGGTGCCACTCCTCTCCCGGGAGCAGTCCAACGCCTTACCTGGGGGTTGGAAGCCGCCGGCACTAGTTCCAAAAGTTCTGGTTCACCTTCCCCCGGAGTTCAAAGTCGCAGCACTCCGGCCCCGCCACAGGCTGGCAAACCCGAACCCTGTCCCGTCCCGCCGTCCCCACCCTCCGGGCCCTACACCATGTCAGGAATCCGGGCAGACACCGAGCTGGGAGCTGACATCACTCCCGGCCCAGGTACCTCCCCCTCCCACCGCCGCCCTCTCTCCTCCTCCCTGCAGGAATTAGCCAAAGAGCGGCCGCAAGGGGGAGGGGCCGGCAGCGCGCCGCCTCCCGCTGATTGGGCCGGGCGGCAGTCACTCAGAGGAGTCAACTAAATTTATACATTCCTCGCTGAGCCAGACGAGGGCTGGAAGTGGGTGTTGATGGAAAAAAAAATGCTGCCTTTCCTGCTATCTCCAAGGAAAGGAGATATATGGGGAAGAACCTCGCGGGTCGTGTTTTCAACTTTTCTTGGCATATGTGCTCTGTCCCAGATCAGAAATGAAACTAACCCACCCGAGCCCCCTTTTTTAGGAGAAACAATTGCCTGTGTGTCACGGGCAAGGACGAGACCGGCGGTGCGTGGAGCAGAAAATGGCTAGCTTCAAGTCAGGCGAAGAAAGGGGAACGCCAGCCCGCTCTGCCCTTTTATCCTGGGACTGCTGGGTGTTCCCGCGACGGGAAAGTTAGAACTTCACCGGCACTTGGGGAGAATTCGGGGACGAAGGCTCGGCCAGGCGACCCAGCTCCGAATCGTTCACTTGCAGCGTTAACCGACCATGTGACTGCTTTTGCTGTTAGCGACGAAAAGCAAGCCCACCGCGCGAGCTTCCAGGCAAATAAAATTGAACCTCTGAAATAAGAAAAATTACTATTTATCCCTTTCACAACCTGAGCGCTGCTGTTTTCATGCACAACTGAAAAGAAGAGGAACTCACGATTGAGCTGAACCAGCCACAGGAGAATAATTACTGTTGAATGGAACCAATTGCAGAGGCTAAGCTATCAATTAAGAATTAACCAGCATTTACCTTCGACGGATATCATGCTGTATAATCCCCTTGGCTAACAGAACAGATTCTCAGGAGATGGTTCTTTCAATTTGCCGACCTGCTCCAAGGCTGAACTGAATGGTAAAAAGTGGCTCTATTTATATGCGATAGAAGTAGTCTATGTGTTATCCATCATCTTCTGGAAGTACAATGAATTAATTATTGACTTTCTGTTGGATTTTATTGTTTGTTTTTGATGGATGACAACGTTATACATTTCACCATCCTGCCAAAAATTGTAGAGGGATGCAGAGTCCAAAATTGCCTCATTTAATCCTCACAACTATCTGGTAAAGTGAGTGTCATTAGCCACATTTTCTTTTTAATCTAACAGTTTTATTTCTTTATAACTTTATTTTTATTGTTGACACTATTACAGATACCCTCTCCCCCGCCATTAGCCCTATTTTAACATAAGAATCAAAGGCTCAGCAAGGTTACCTAAGTAAATTTCTCCAGAACTCCCAGAACTGGGGTTGAAACCAAGGTCCATTTGACTCCAGAGCCATTTTTTCTCTTTACTTTGAAGATTGCCCACAATCTACACTCATCCGAACACTGTGAGGCTAAAAAAAAACAAACCATGACCAGAGCCAGTGCTCTTCCAGACCCTTATGTTATGACCATTGTCAAACCCACACAATTCCAAGCTCCTATCTTATACTTCTGACTCCTGAGTTTGCTAAAATACTGTTTGGTTTTGCCATCAAGATCTTCCCCTCTAAATCCCGCCCCCCTTTCTCTGTAATTCTGTCTAGTCATTTAAAACTCTCCCTAATCTGGTCTATTTACCTCTCTCACCTTATCTCCCACTTCAGTCCTGGGAAACATTCTACTAAAGTCAAACTGGTCTCCTCACAGATCTCTGCTTGATTCTCTTCCTGCGGTATAACTGGAAACCCCACTCTTCTGTATGAGGGGGAGGGGGCTGGTAAAGAATTTTTAAGATCTATTTTCTCAGCAACTTTCAAATATGTGATACAGTATTATTATTATTATTTTTTTTATCCTCACCCGAGGACACTTTTCCATTTTTTTTGTTCAGGTAGAGTGGGGGGGAGAGAGAGGAACAGAGAGAGAGAGAGAAACATCGATGTGAAAGGAACACATCGAGTGGCTGCCACCCGCACAACCGACCAGGGCCGGGGACAAACTGCAACCGAGGTACGCGCCCTTAGCGGGAACCGAACCCGGGTCTCTCAGGACCGCAGGCCGACGCTCTAACCGCTGAACCAAACAGGCCAGGGCTGTGATACAGTATTATTAACTATAGTCACCATGCTGCACATTACATCCCCATGACTTTTTTTAAAATATTTTTTTCTTTATTGATTTGAGAGAGAGGAAGGAGAGAGGGAGAGAGAGAGAGAGAGAGAGAGAGAGAGATACATTGATAGAGAGAACATCAATTGGCCACCTCCTGCATGTCTCCCACTGGGGATCGGGCCCACAACCTGGCCCTGTGCCCTGACCGGGAATCGAACCGGTGACCTCTTGGTACATGGGTCGACACTCAACCACTGAGCCACACCAGCCGGCCCCTATGACTATTTTATACCTGGAAGTTTGTATCTTTTGACCTTCTTCCGCATGTTAAGTCCTACCTTTCTCTTGAAGTCTGATTAATTAAAGTCCTTGTCCTCACCATGTACTACAGTGGACAGAAAAAGGGCTTGGAGTCCACTGCCCAGTTCTGCTACTTACTTGCTGTGTAACTTGGCCAAGTCACTATAACATCCATCAGTTACCTATTCTATGAAAGGTTATTGTCAGCCTTATTGAGATTGTACAGAAGTGTCAATATACGGTGATATATGTCTAGCTATACACATTTTCTACCTTCCCAAACTCTGAAGAGCAGGATCCATGCTTAATATATCTTTGTATTCTTTATACTCAGTTCAAGGGGGAAAAAAACTCAATAAAAATACAGGACAGAAAGTGGTTCATTATATCACCTCTAACCCCCTCCATTTCTTAAATAAACCAAACCCCAAATATCCCAAAGTCAGAAACCATCTCTCTCTCTCTCTCTCTCTCTCTCTCTCTCTCTCTCTCTCTGTGTGTGTGTGTGTGTGTGTGTGAATGCATGTGCGAACTAGAGTGCTTTGGCCAGAGTCCTTCCCTTTTCCCCCTGTCCCACCATTCATGCAAAAACCCTTCACCCCCTCAGATATTTTATGCACAACCACTTAACCTGCCTCTTAGCCACTTATCATTCCCTCTTCCACAGTCAGGGACACACTTGTCTGTCGTGCTTGTTGCCTGCCTTGCTCTCCCAAATGCCTTCTGAAGGTGGCTGAGTGGCTACCAGTCATTCTTCCAGCCCCAGTCATAGGATGGCTATTCCCAGGCTCACATTCTACAACCAGCAGGAGAAGATGAGGGAGGGAATGCCCCACCCCCACAGGGATGGCTGGATAGAATAACAGGAAGTTGCCTCCCATCCCCTCCACAGCTGGACTGATAACAGCTGCCATCGAGAGTCCGGAAAACAAGACTAGAGGAAAGCTGAAAACTGGCCTGGGCTGGAGCAGCAGTGTTAGAACCAGGGGTTCCAGAGTGGATGAGAAAGGAACCAATGGGCCAGATTTCAGGCTCCTTCTCCCCCCCTCCCCCCACCCCCTTAATCAGAGCTACAGCTCTTCTCAGTTCTACATTTAGGCTTCACCATAATGCTTCATTTTTAAAAGCAACTCTAACACTTGAAGAAATATATTGAAACCACTGGCCTCTGGGTATCTTGGGGAAGCCCCAAAGACTAAAGCATTTCATTCAGCAGAAGTGAAGTAGGGTGTGCAGTGAGCAGCTACCCAGAGTTTACCCACCACTCTGGAGCTCAGCTGACTTAATAGAAGAGTCTGTTTACGGCTCCTGTGGTTTCGACTCTAATTAGCTCTAGAGACCTAGATATCTATTTTCTGCCTAGTTATTCCTATGATCAGCCTCACTGATATAGGTGATTAGTACCTATAAATTTTGCCAGATACTATCACTATGGGGTGGAAGTAGGAAGGAGGACACTTTAAAACAAGAGACAACATGTAAAAATATAACAAAAGCAGGACTTGGAACGGACCCTTAAGGTCATCTGATGCAACTGCCTAATGGAGGCAAGAATCCCTTCCATAGTACTTCTGACGGGCAGCCTTTTAGCACCCACTGGAATTTATCTGGCAACAAAGAGCACTTGAACAAAGAGCAGCCCACCACTAAAGAGCTATCTCCTAGGGGGACCAGATCCTGCTTTTCTGACTATCCCCCATAAAGACCCCTGTCTTGCGTCTCATTGAATCCTTGCCCCTATCCTCACACACTAGGTGTGTGTTATTAACCCCATTATAACATAAGAATCAAAGGCTCAGCAAGGATACATAAACAAATTGCTCCAGAACACCCAGAACTGGGACTGTCACCAAGGTCCCTTTGACTGCAAGCCATTTTTTTTTATATATACGTATACCTAAAGCATTAGTGTGCACAATCTACTGACTTTCAGTTCTGCCCTCTGGAGTAACAGATTGCGGATTGACTCTTTTTATTACCCCCAGCCCCAAGCCCGAGGATACTTTCCCTACTTAGTTTGTTTACATGCAGATACCAGGAAAGAGTCACCCAACTCATCAGGGTTGTGTCATTTTCCTGTCTGGTCTTTCCGGGCTTCCAGCGCTGCTCTCTAAAGCAGTCCTGATTACTCTAGACTCCTCTCAAAACCCTTGGCTGTCTCCCTTTACCAAGGAACAAAGCCACACACAGGCGCTTACATCCTGGCTCCAACCTGTCTTTCTGAACTCATTATCACTCCGCTTCATACATTTGCACTGTGCAAACTGAGTCACTCTGCACCCATATCCCCATTTTCGCCCATTTCTACTAAAATCCATCTCACAGGGTTGTTGCGAGGATCTGATGAGGTGTCATATGCAAGATGACAGAGCATGTTGCCTCACATAGTAAGTCATCGGTAAACATTCTCCTTTTTCTAATGACATAAAACAATCACAGCATTACTTTTATGTATGGCTTTTGTCCCACACTGACTGTAACTTTCTCACAGTCCTTGAGGGCAGGATGCCAGTTTGTTTC